CTTCCTCACATCCTAGCACTGGACATGCTGTGTCATAATTACCATCTACCTTAGCTAGACTTGGAGCTCTGGGAGGTGAGGGGACATGTTTACTTACTCCTGAGAGTCTACTACAGTACCTGGAACAGAGTGTGTGTTGCATATCTGTCAAGTGAATGAATCCTGGTTAACCTTTCCTTCTACTCACTCCCCTGCACTCCACAGCTAAGGCTCCCCTACCTCACTGGAGGCCTTTCTGATCTGCAGACATATTGGGCCTGGATCATACCTCTTTGTCTTTGTCTTTCTGGCTGAAATGCCCTTGTTCTCCCCCTTTTTCTAACAAACTCCAACTTGTTGTTTAAGTCTCAGCTCAAGTTTCACCTCCTCTGAGAAGTCTGTGCTTGAAGGGGACCATTAAAATAAGGATTTATTCTAGGCAGGGTAATTCTTAGCTCATTCTTCATCATTAATACTTTATTATACTAACTCCAATATGTAGCAGCCTTCATCACCCCATTCCAGCAGTTACACTGCCCCTCCTCTGCACCCTCAGCTCCTTGTAGCACCTCTGTCACAGCACTTCCACAAGGTTTTGGGGGATGGGTTTCTGTTTGTTTAGTTTAGATTCCGTTCCACCCCATCCTGCCCTCCATGTTGTAGGAGGACATTGTATGACCTTAACTCCTCCCCCAGCCCCTGGCTTCTTGTAAGGGGACCTTGACTCATTTCTTCAATTAAAATGAAACATAAATTCTGTCCTTCCCCCACTCTTTGTCTTTCCCTGCCAGTATGCCCACTCATTATTGAGACAAGCCAGGGCTGCTTCCCTTTCAGGAAGCATCATTTTTCCAATTAGCCTTTGATTGGAAATAGTGCCATTACAGCTGGGCTGCTTTAAGTGTTTGCTGGTGATTGGCAACCTGGTCATACAGAAAGAGTGCTGAACCAGGACTCAGGAGTCCCCAGTACTAACCATCTCTGCCTTTATCCAAATGTTGGAACACAGTGACTCCCTTCCATCCCTGGGACTCAGTTTCTTCCTCTTGAACCATGAGAGGTTTGAACTTAGTCTTTTGCTGCTTCAAGTGTGGCCTAAACATGGAGTGGGGGTGGGTAGCTTGTGAGAAATGCAGTCTGGGTCCCAAACTAAATCTCTGAAATCAGACTCTATTTTAACAAGTTCCCCAGGTGATACTGTCCACAGCAAAGTTTGGGAAGTACTGTAAACTTCCCAGAGGAAATGATCACTGAAGCTCTTGTTCAACATACAGCTTTCCAGGTTGTTGTCCTGGAGACTCTAATGAAGTGAGACTAAGGTGGAGTCCCAGAATTAGTATTTGTAACAAGTACTTCGTGTGACTCATATCCGTGAAGTTTGGAAAACATTGGATAAGTGGTTTATGAAAGTCTTTCTGCCTTTGACATTCTGCAATTCTATATGCACTGGTTCATTTCTGAGAGTAGTAAATAGTGGTACCTAATTCAGAACTCTGGGACTTATCCCTCTCTCAGTTGGGGGAAGCATTTGCAGAATCAGTCACATCTATTCAGGCAGGGAAAGAAAGGATTAAAAAAATTTAAGCAAGGGGTCTCCTTGATTGAAGAAAATCAGCAGTCTCCGGGGTTCAAAGACAAATTACCTGCTTACTCAAAGTTGTCTCCTCAAAGCAATCAGGATATAATCAGGCAATCTGAATGACCCTCTTAGAGTTTTGGGAAAGGGGGAAGAGAAATGAAGGGTGTACCACCTTTCCCATACTGGCAAGTAGGGCAGGAGAGTGGTGGGCAGACAAGTTGACAAGAAAAACCTAGGGGAAGCCTCTCCCTGAAATCAATCCTATTTTTCCAAACTCTCAGAATGGATATGTGGCCTGACAAGGGATGTTTTCTGATTTGTGAGTTTATTTATATGGATTCTTTTTTAGAAACATATAAAAACTAAATCACATTTAGTTATATGTTTAACAAATCACCTTTATTTGGAAAAGGAAAAAAAAAGTTACACAAGATCAGGATTGCTCTGGAAAGTTCGGGAATAGAAAGTTGCCAGTTTTTCTCCATGTTTGGATTTGTTTTTCTTATAAATATGCCTTAAGTTCCGTTGCTGGTAGGTTTTGGCTACGTCTGAGATTTAGACAGGTGGGGAGAATGTGGAAGGGCATTCAGAGGGTATTTTTCTAGGCAGGGAAAGAAGGGTAGAGTCTGTCAGCAAGGGTGAAGTGTGAATGAGCATTGCAGAGCCAGGGCTGAAGTTAGGGAAGGAGGTGTGCAAGAGGCTACTGAGCTGTCCAGAGCAGATGAGGGTCTGGGACCAAGAGAAGCTCAGGCTGAATTGCTCAAGTTAGGGATTTCCCTCTTTCGTATTTCTTCCCTACATCCAATTTGCCCACCAAATCTTTGCACTTCTATATCAGCAGTTCCATGGTCCACCAGCTCTGGCCTTAACTCATGATCTGCTTACATCCCCATCTTGGCCTTTGTAACAGCTGTGAAGACCTTGTGTCTCTACCTACACAAGTTTGGTTTTGAAAAAAGATGTCTTTCAAAAAACTAAATATATAGAGATCTCTCTAGAAGTAAGTTTCTTGAGTAAGTTCTTTGAGGAGAGATGCAAACTCTAAACCAAATGGCCCACATCATACCCATTACATAAATTCTGAGTCCTGGGGGAAAGAAAGTAGAATTCATCAGAGCAGGGAATTCCTAAACAAGAGATGGCTTCAGAATTCCCTTGGAGGGCTTGTTGACACAGGAATCACTAAGCCTCACTTTCAGAGTTTCTAATCCCATTTATGTGGGGTGGGGCCCAAGGATGTGCATTTTTGACAGATTCCTAATTGGTGCCTATGCACTGTTTGGGGTGCTTCTTATACCGTGGGGAAGAGGGAAAGCTGAAGGGAGAATGAGAGAGGAATGGGGAAAGCCTAGAAGAGAAGGGAGAGGTGGAAGGGGAGAAGATCAAATACCCTGAGGAAGAATTTCCTTCAAATACTAAACAACCTTTTTCTTTTTTATTGATACATTATGATTATACATAATAGTGAAATATGTTGTGATATATTTGTACATGCACATAACATAATTTGATCAATTTCATTCCCTACTACTTCCCCTTTCCCTCCCCTCTTCCCAATCCACGTCCTCTATTTTACTGGTCTCCCTTTTATTTTTATGAGATTCCCTTTAATTTTTTTTCTCTATAGCTAGCTTCCCATATTAGAGGGAACATAAAACCCTTAACTTTCTGAGTCTGGCTTATTTTGCTTAGCATGATTCTCTCCAGTTCCATTCATATTCCTGCAAATTGATTTCATTCTTCTTTATGGCTGAATTAAACTCCATTGTTGAATACCTTTTTTTTTTCTTATAACCCCACCCATACTTGTTTCTCCACATCTCCATTCTTTTAGTCTAAACAAGTGGTTTTCAAATTTCTAGACTTCCAAATCTTTAAAATTTCAAAAAGAAAAAATAGGCTGGGCATGCTGGTGCAGGCCTGTAATCCCAGCAGCTTGGGAGGCTGAGGCAAGAAGATGATAGGTTTGAAGTCAGTCTCAACAATTTAGCAAGGCTGTAAGAAATCTAGTGGGAACCTGCCTAAAAAGAAAAAAATAAATAGGGCTGGGGATGTGGCTCAGTGGTTAAGAGCCCTTGAGCCTAGTCTCTGGTACACCCCCCCCCAAAAAAAGATTTGTCTGAGTCGCTCCCATGATTAGTCACTTGAGATATTAAAAACAAGTACATGCCTATCTTTTACTGTAACCAAAATTTCATAAAAGAATGGATAGTAGAATGAATAAGATATTAAGCTATGTGAATATATGATTATATGACCTGTGTGATTCTACATCATGTACAACCAGAGGAATGAGAAGTTATATTCCACTTATGTACATGTCAAAATGCATTGTATTGTCATTTATAACTAATTAGAACAAATAAAAAGGAATTGACATTTTAATACCAAAAGGTAAAATAGATAATCTCAAAATTAAAAATTGTCATTTATATGAAGTATGTTATGTCTATGAGGAAAACACTACAGTTTTTTAAGGAGGCACAGTTTTTGCTTTCCACCAGAGTCTGGTGATTTTTGTTTGTTCTGCGCTGCTGGTAACTGAGCAGAACTTATGTTTGCTTGGCGAGTAGTCTATTATTGTAATATATACCCAGTCCTTTGTGAAAAATTTATTACAAAATTGTTGTTACAGAGGTCTAGCCAGTCTGATTGTTGCATCCAACTTTCCTTTGGATTAGGCACACCAAGAAATGCCATCTCCATCTACTTTCTTTGTTCTCACCAGAGTGATGTTGATGGGTCTGATTGCTAAAATATTGTATGGAGGAGACATTCCAACTTACCTCAGTCCTTGAAAATGCCTAGTGTATGTTGGCATCTTTGCTTCTGGAAACACAGGTCAGATGGGAACTATAGTGTTGGCCTTTAGAATTGTGGGGTTGACCAAAGTGTTTCCCAAGATCTCAGCCTCCTCTTTCTGTGCTGTTTCCTCCCACCCTTGACATCAACCTCTTCCCACATACAGTTCCTTGTGTTCGTGACCCCATTAAAACCCAATCTGAGAAAAATATTTAACTAGTTATTTATGCCTTAGGGTGAATAAAATATTTATGTGTTCCCTCTCCCAGAGAGTAGCTGCACCATAACCTATTGAGAATGGAAAGCTGCACTGTTTAATGAATTGCAGGCAGCAGGTAGAGATATTTTCAAATCTTTCTTGGATTTCTGCAGAGTACTACAAGTGACCACCTATTCTGAAGACACGGACTGACCCTGGGCAAAGGATTTTAGATACAAAAAGAAGTCATTTGATTGCTGCTCAACTCTGGAGGGAGATGCTGTCAATCATGGTTTTTCCATCATACATTGATCCTCAGCTTCATTTTCTGTAAAATTAAAGGGTTGGGCAATATACTGTCCAAGTCTTGTGCCAGCTTGGACATTTTATGGTTATATGATTATTTGTTTAATGGTTAAAAAATAGAATGTCAGCCAAAAATATTGAAATCAAATTTTATTTTTGGAAAATGACATTACACCCATCTTGCAAATGTACACAAAAAAGAGAATGCAATGGAGAACAGAGCTTGAGAGCCAAAATGATTGCAAGAGCAGCTCTTTGGCTGCACAGTATTGAACACTGTGAATCTGCAGCATTCACAGTTCACAACACTTTACACGCATGGGGAACTTCTCTAGACGACCTTGAAGTCCTCTGACCAAAGAGCCCTCATCAAAGTATGAAGGGGGAGAGGGGGAAAGGGATGTTAACAGGCACAGGAGATAAAAAGGGTCTGCCCCAACCAGTTTTACATGGGCCTCACCAAACCTACCAGTCCAAAGGTAACAGCAAACCAAAAAAGGAAAATTGCAATCTAAGAGTGGGCTAAGCAGTACCTGGGAAACAGCAATGCATATAAACCCAGGTCCTCGTCTTTTCCGATAATAACCATTCTAAAGAGATGACTAAAACTCATAAGTATGTTATATTTCTCTGTTTTTCTTTTCTTTTTTTCTTTTCAAATAATTATTGGTCATTGGTCTTTGGATGTCTCCAAATTCCCCAAAACTACTGCAGGGATAAGGACATCATTGTCTATTGTCTTTGGATTTCATGTGATTCTGAGAACTATTCAATTCTGTAATGTGATCAAACAAAGACACTCCCAATTTGCCACTGATTTTTATGTGAAAGGGAATTGAGTCTTTGATCACTATGCCATTCCTTGAGAAATGGTCAATAACTGCTGAGAAATGTCTTTCTCCCCTTTTGGCTTATTTATTCTTTGCTGACTTTACTTGGCAAGAATGATTGGCCCCTAAATCATTTATTTACAAGATACCTGGGAGCAGGGAAGATACCTGGGAGCAGGGAGCGGGAGAGGGGAGAAGGGCCACAAGGAAGAATATATTATTTTCAGAGGTTAAAATGAGTTAGTTAAGAAATGTGATGTACAATACCATGCATTTACTCTCCAAAGCTAGTCACTAGCAAGCTAACGCCTCTAACACTACAACCACCAATTACAGCTGTTTTGCTACAGTTACTCAATCCTAACTACAGCTATAGGGCACAAAGGGTGGGCTGTTTCCATTTTAAACTTTCTCCCTTTGAAAATGGCCATAAAAACATTTTCTATACAAGTTTAATGGCACAAAAAGGTGACCAAAAATGTTTTAAAGAACTTACCACATATGAGAAATGCAAAATTCAATCAAAACATGCATTAGTTGTGTACAAGTCATAAGGGATCATTGGCTTCAAGCTGCAATATATTACAGGACCATACACTGGAGACATTTTGGTATAACCTCCTACTTGCTTAAGCCCCATTAAGAGAAATTATAAAGAAACTCATTGGAAATTTCGGCATCCCATATGATATTGCCAAGCAGTGACATTCCCAGGGGCTGTGAACTCTGCTGAATAAATGAACACCTAACAAGTTAGTTTCTCTAGGCCCACTGATTACATATATAGGGACTGCCTGTGCAGTTGGTGTCAAAAATAAAAGGTTGAGGTGAATCTGTAACAGAAGGAAAAACTACATCTCAATTAAATGAATGTTTCTTTTTATAGTATGGATTTGTTAAATACCCTTTTCATTTAAATTAACCCCAGTTGCCTACCAGTTGAGCTTGACCAACTCAACAGTTGGCAAATGCAAAACAAAAGGTTATTACAGAGAGCTTAATGAGTAGTGGTAAAAGTTTAAACAAATTGCTCCTGCCCCCCCATCCCCACCCAGCCAAACCAAATGGCAGGAGCAATCACCTGTGGTCTCTCATTATATTGCAGCTTTTTCAACTATGAGCAAATTAAACAAAATCAACTAATAGTATTTAGCTGATATGAATCCATGGGTGGATTTTTTCTGTTCAGCTGAGTATTTCTCTGAGCACACTTCACTGCTCCACAAAAATGGCAGACTACAAAGGAACCACAAAGTATTCTGTACAGTGCTTGGAAGGCAACGGCCTAAAGATAAATGGGCTCTAAGAAAAATGATTGAGGTCTGCTGAGACTGAAAATGGAAAAGACAAAGGGCCAGGGTCAGGTTAATTCCCACCAACATGCTTCTGACTATACTGGGGTAAGACTAGGGCTGGTTGAGTCTGGAAATAATTTTGCATCAATTCCAAGGCAAAAATCACAGGCTAAGAAAAAGCATATGCTCAGTGCCTAGACAGGGAGGAGGAAAAACCAAAAAGTGATCAAACAATTGCACAGTAAAAAGAGAGTGATAACAGAGCATAAACTGAGAACAAATATAGGGAAATAGAAAAGAAAAAAAAGTGATACATGGTGGAGGTAAAGTGGCAAAAAGCCATTGATTTCTTCAGGTTATTTCCCAGAAATGAGAAATTCCTATGCCTTCAAGTCTTCGCCTTAGTTTACAAGGTGTTTATTCTGACTTCTATTATGTCATCTGATCTCCCTCAACTAACCCACCTTCTGTGATCAGGAGAAGGAAGACGCCTTAATTCCAAATGGGCATCCTATACTCCCCTAGCCCCAGACATCCAAGGTAAGAAAAATTCACCTCTAATTCCAGAAGATGTTGAAGCCAATAAACTAAGGGATAAAAAGTCAGACATTGCAAATGGTAGCCTATGCCAACAAGCTTGGCTAATGTTGAGGGCTGCATGGATCCTTAACAAGAAAACAAGCAGGAAGCAACATCAAGAGGCTGCATGTGAAGACCACAGCAGAGCTTTGGGAATGGAAGCAAGCTCTGGGAAGCAGAGTAGAGGAGATAGAGAAGAAACACCCATTTTCCTGAAGGGATAAGAGGGTCAGGCATACTGAAAGATAGACTGATGAAGAGTGAGACTTCTAGACTGTGAGGAGAGAAAATGGAAGGGGCTAGGAGAATCTGCTAATAGTCTCAGCCCATAATAGGTTGTCCTCTGAAATCATTGCTCTATGATTCTAGAAATTTGTTTACCTCTCCACACTTGTGTCTTTGCTGCTGTGTAACAAGAACCACCTGTCTTCTACATACCAAAGAAGTGAGATCTGCTATCCAGAAGAATAAAATTGGGAATTCATTTTTTAAAAATGACCCATATTGTCTTATATGTAATCACAGGTTTTAAGGGCTAACTAATGGCAATCTACTGAATGGTAATAGCACTAGACTGACTCTGGGCCACCAACAGCCAGAAAATCTGACAGATGCCTCTCTGGCCAAAAGGTAGGCATGAAAATCAATGAACTATCCTTGCTTCAGGTGGTCATACCTGCAAGGAAGAAGAAAACCTGCATGGACTCATAGAACAGTGGATGGAGCTTTATATGAAGTCCTCTTAGGGCAGAGGCAGAAATATGACAGTTTCTAAACTCCATCCTAGAAAAGAGACTCAGGAGATTTGTAAGGCTCAATTGCTACAAAAAAGATCCCATATCACTCCTGACATACTATTAAAGGCTGGGCCAGTGCTCAGCTTCTTCCTTCTCTGGGCTCCAGGTCTCATAACATAGAACTCCTGCTCCTTCCCTACTCCGCAAAGTGCTGATGGGTTATTCAGGAAACCAATCTGAGTCTAAAAGCCAAGTGACTTAATGCATCAAAGACAAAATATGCTTGAGGCCTGGCCATGAATCCTATGGCTCCATGTAGCCAAAACCAAGTTTTAGTCACCTTCAAAAAATAATACCCAGTGCCTTTTATTTCCATAACAAATAGACAACTGTGAAGGAAGTCGTTCAAACCACACTGTTCCAATGCTTCTTTCTGTCTAGGGAAGTCTCTTGACATAGATGTTTCTGACGTGTGCTGTATTTTCAAAAATTCCCACTGGTGTGTATTATGCTGAAGTTCATTCTGAGGACATGGGTATGTTCTTTCTCCAATCCCAGGGAGACGTGTGATTTTTTTTTTAAAGAAAATACATTTAGAATAAAATTTGAGAGGGAGTAGGTGCATCTCTACCCCGAGTATTGAAGAGATTAGGGTTGGAGATACAATTCTGTCCAAGGCAAGTACTGAATTCCTTGTCTGTGACCTGGGCTAGGTGATTCTAAGAAGGATCTAAGAGGATAGCTACATATCTACATTAAGATTCCTTGGCTACTTTTGATTGAGGAGGAGCAAAGGAAGAAGAAGGAAGTACCTGAGGAATGGAGTAAGCCTAGTAGGAGGTCTCTTAGAACTCAATTAATGAATACCCTTTAGTTCCCAGGAAGAGCCTTGCTGCATGTTCAGACCTTGTTTCCCTGGTTTCTGCCATGGAAGGCCACAGGAGCAGTGTACACAAGAAGATGAGTATGGTGCATAGAGCACACTGCTTGCTATTTTGGTGAAAACACAAGGAACCAATGTTTAACATCAACCAGGGAACATTTTAGTCACAATGCCCCCTGCTTATACCTGGAAACTCTCCCCATCGGGGGAGGATGGCTATGGGGACATTGTGTATGAGGACAACCACAGAAAGACTAGGTTATTTTCTCTAGCTGGTCTAGTGGAAAGAAATCATTGCTATTTTAAAAGCAATCATTACCAGTAGCAATGGTAGCTGCACTAGTTTTTAAAATGCTGAAAAGCCATCTCAGAAAATCAGGATGGACAAAGCTATTACTTCACTCTTCCTTTCTTCCTTTCCCTGCTCTTGAAACAAGAAACCTTTAGTCCTTTGCCTGGGAGGACAAATCAGTATGTGGTGACATGTGTGGAGCAGATAGGGAAAACTAGTTTTCTTTTATTCCATTTTTAACAGAGTTAGTAGCTCAGAGGACTATTCCAAAGGCGCCTCAAGATGGGGCATCCCCTGAGTTAGATAGACTGTTGTTCCTATTGGTCTTAAATGCCTCCCTCTCTTTGGGGACATCTGCAGCCCATGTGAATGGGAACCATGTGAATGTGGGGAGAAAGGGCCATATTAAGTTGCTGGGTGGATTTCCCACTGAGATCAGGGCAGCAGCATATGGCTCCAAGATGCAACATGACCCTGGGAAAGAATTCTCAGGAGCCTAATGGAAGGCAATATTGGTTAGTGGGAAAAGGCCCTGGAATAAGAGCCAAGAGATGCGGGTTCTAATCCCAACCCTGCCCCTAGCCAGCTGTGTGACCTCAGGGAAATTACTTTACCTCTGTGTCTCCATTTCCTGGCCTGAAAAAAATGAGGAGTTTGGGAGTGGATGATGTGATCTTAAGGTTCCTTCCAGCTAGAAAACTCTATGATTCAATCTAGGCTAATACTAAAGTCCATAAGGACACAAAGCAGTCATGCTAATGGCTATCCTTTCCAAAACAGTGAAGAGAAAAGGAGATTTTCTCTCAATTTACCTCTAGTTAACACTACTTATGAAGTTAGTTGTTCAGCCCAGCCCCTATATATACATTTCCCCTTCTTTGTCCCTATTTCTATTTATGTAGGGAAGAAAAATTAGGAGGTAGGAACAAGCAACAGATGGATTGTGTGTGTGCACATGTGTGTGTGTGAGTGTATAAGAGAGAAGTAGTTATGGGGAGTGGTGGCAAATGTTTGCTGACTTGATGTTTGCTGACCATGAAGCAGTCAACACAATGGGACTAGAGTGGTAAAACTGAACTGGATAAATTGGGAACAAATAATAGGGGTAAATTAGCTCAGTGACACTTTTTTTTTGCCTTGAAAAAATGGGCTAATTTAAAATGCAATTATTGGAGGCTTGAATTTTAAACTATGCCAAGCCCCTCAAAGTGGCAATACAGAAACATTTCCTTATAATTAATTAAAAGAAAGATGGAAACTGTACTATTGTTACAGAAGACTGCTGATTCCAAGATTATTATAAATACAATATGTCCATTTAGTATTTTCTAGTGGTACATAAGCCACATGCAAGGAAGTTCTCAGCTTGTGTAGAGCATGAGGAAATCTGGTTTCTTCCTCTGGTCCTACCTACTCTCCCAGCAGTCATTAAGCTGCCTCTCTATTTCTTTATCTTAAAATGAAGGTATGGGACTAAATGAAATTTTAAGAAAGACAGTGGATGGAGTCTTTAGAAAGACCTGGTGTAAAGTTTAAAAATAGACCCCCCATCATTCTCTATCCCCAACTCCCATTCCAAAGTACCAGTTTTTTTTCTAATTAATTTTTAACTATTTTAGAAGGCAATATGAAAACTGTGAGCTTCTAGAAAGAAATAGGGGCTAGGTGAAATGAGTTTCTCAAATGTTTTGAATGGATCTACAAATGCAGGAGAGATCAAAAGGAGATCCTCATAATTTGGGGGTTCTTCAGTGAATGATCAGAAGAAGCAGAAACCAGTATTATCATCATCTCACTTCTCCTGAATCAAAACTGTTTCTGGTAATTAAGAACTTCTGAAATTGTCTAGGGACCTCTAGCTACCCCTTCCACCCGGTGTTTCTCCCTGCACATCAGCAATGCCACCAAGTTGCCATCAATCCATGTTGGGTTATCTTATAGTATATTTCCTAATTGTGAATCAGCTGCAAAGGAGCATGTGCATGTCTATACACGTGTGTGCATGCACACACACACACACACACACACATTCACATACACACAGACACACACAGCAAGCTCATTCCATTCATGGGAGGGACAACTGCATGTCATTCAGTAGCCAAACAATAGCTTGGCTTTGAATGATGCACCTTTCAAAATATCTGAACAATTACAACGCAATAAAAGAAATCTTCATATCTGCTCAAAGCAAACACAGAATTAGCATGCATGGCTTTCACCTAAATTTAGTTGTCTTTGCCATTATGGGCTATGATTACAGACAAAAAAGCAGTGTTATGAACCTGTATCTCAAAGACTGAGAATTATTTTAAATGATCAGTCCTTAATAAAGAGAAATCCTTTCTAGTGTTAAAGTGAAAGGTTTCTGTATCTTCAGTATGAAATATTAGGATTATAGATAAAAAAGAGTTGCTTAAAATATGCCATAACATTTCATTTAAAATATAATTAGAATGTCTGGTCCACATTGAAATTATTAATGTAAGCATAACTGTTAAAAAGCTATCAAAAGACTGATTCTATTGAATTGGCCTCTGCTATTCATTTCATATTCTCCTGGAGGTTACTGTTTGGCAGTGACAGCATGATTTCTAAACTACATTATTCTTCTGCATTTTTTTTGGTAAATTTTCTGCATGTGTTTTTTAGACAAAAGAAAAATCACCAGTTTATAAAAAAGGAGCCTGAAGAGTTTGCTCCTGAAATACAGACATGAGTTTTTATAAAAAGGATATTGGTTTCTTGCTATAAAAAGTGACCGAAAGGTGTCAGACCTGAAAACAAATTCTCACAGTGTTTTCAGTGTTGGCTGTTTACAAGGCATTCAATAGAACAGAGATAGATGGATACCGTACAGTTCATTGTAATAACTTGGTATGTTGGACAGCTTTCTAGATGAATCAAATATATAACATCCTTTATTCCAAAGTCTTATCAATTACTTATTGATTCCAAATTGACCCAGTGGAGAAGTTGACCAAGAATTGACTGTGCTTTTTAACTTCTACTGAAACATCTTAGAAGTTTCTGCTTCATCTCTTTTAGCTAGTCCTTCCCCCACAGTCCTAAGCATCTGGTGCCATAGTTATTAGTTGCTGGTGTTTCTACCCCTTGACAGATAGGATTGGTGCTAGACAACAAACTGGGGCTCAATCAGGAGTAAAGGGCAAGGCTGGGGAGCCGCCTTGCCATCTTCCTGGGAGCCTCCAGCATTATTAAGATCCGGAGACAAGGGGCACTTGTGTTTGTCACTCTTGGATGCGCCAATAAGATTTTTTCCCCACACAAACATTTTAAGTGCTAAGTATGTAAACAGCCCTCTACAGAAGGAAGACTGCTATAGTGTATGAGTAAGTGAGACAGGAAAAATAATGAAGGCGCCTAAATATTCAGTAGAAAGGTCATGGACTAGCATATTTGGCATCCCTGGAAAGTTACCCAAAGGACGGTTATCAATCTATCTCTCATAATTGGTAACTGTGGATCAGTGGCCCAGAGGAGAAATCACAGGAAAATAAACCCAACATACTACAGTGTGTTTTTGAAAAATAACAACAACAACAAACGAAAAATTGAAAGCACCAATAGCCCTGTTGGACACTTCAGAGTGAAGTATCCTACTTTAGTGGTAGGATTGGATTTGTACTCTGGATTCTACACACTCCGTCCTCCTTCACATGGAATCACCAAGCGAGTCAGAGTCATCCAAGGACAGGGGCAGGTACAAGTCCTGTAAGAAGAGAAGAGGCAAAGTTAACTTTCCATTTCTTGACATCTTGAGATTTGGAATGACTGTTTTAGTTTTTATAACTAGTTTTTCCCTAATTTTTATTTTAAAATAATTATTTATTCATAAGAAACAGAAAAATGCATAGGGAGATAACCATATGCTAATGTAGCCTTCACCCAACTTTCCCCAAACATAACATCTTAAGAGTTCTATTTGCACTCATTTGAGTGAATAATCCTATACAATTGTATTGCATGCACATTTGTATGACTATCACCAGAGTCAAGATGCAGAACTCTCAGCACAGGGATCTCTTGTGATACCCTTTTATAACTATATTCATCCACATTTGCTTCCCCAAGCCCTGACAATCAACAGAGATGCTTCCCTCCTCTGTAATTTTTGAATTTCAAGGATGTTGGCTAAATAAAATCGTGAAGTTAATAAGATTTGGGGATTGATCATTTTCAGCCAGCATAATTACCTGGAGATTCAAACAAGTTGTTACATGTATAAATATATCAATAGTTTACTCCTTTGTATCCCTGAGTTGTCTTCCATGGTACAGAAGTAAACAGACTGCTTAACAATACACTCACTGAAGGGCATATGGAATGATTCCAATTTGGGACCATTGTAAATAAAGCTGCTGTAAATATTCAAGTACATGTTTTTATGTGAATGTAAGTTTTCATTTTTTTTCTGGAATAAATGCTCAAGAGCGCAATTCCTGAGTTATATGGTAATTGCATGTTTAATTTAGGGTTTTCTTTATTCTTTTTTCCTTTTTTATTTTTTTGTTTTGGTACTGGGGATCAAATCCAGGGTCTTCCATGTGCATATTGAGTTTTATCAGGACTACCATATTGTTTTCCAGAATGGCTGTACATTTTTACCTTCTCACTAACCAAATATTAGTGATTTCAGTGTCTACACATCCTCACCAGCATTTGGTGCTTTCACTACTTTTCATTTTAACCATTCTTGTGGATTTGTAGTAATATCTCATTGAGATTTTAATTTGCATTTCCGTGATAGGCTAATGATACTAAAATATCTCATCATGTATTTAAATGATATCTGTATTTCCTCTGAGTGAAATGTTTCTTCATATATTTTGTTCATTTCCTAATTGGATTTTTTCTTGTCAGTTTTAAGAGTCATTTATATATTCTTTAAATAAGTCTATTGTAGATATATGGACTTGCAGATATTTTCCTCACTGTAAGTAGTTTGTATTTTCATAACTTTTGCATGGTCTTTGGCAGAGCAAAAGTTTCTAATTTTGGTTAGGTCCAACCTATACAATTTATCAATTTTTTTCTCCTGTAAATTGTTCTCTCTCTCCCTCCCTCCCTCCCTCCCTCTCCCTCTCCCTCATGCTCTTTCCTCTTTTTAACCCCTGTATTTAAGTAAAATATTACTTGGAAATCCAATTCATGAGAAAAGGTGGGGTGGCAGATTTTTACCCAGTTCCATCTTTCTCTGCACCTTCAAATGTAGCAAAGTTTGAAAACCACTATTTTTGTGCTTGATATTAGCAAGATACCAAAGAGAATAGAAAATCTAGAATCAACGATGTGGATATTTGGTAAAATGGGAGAAAATAACTTCAACAGAGGATTGTCTAAGAAAATTGGAGAACACCTTCTGCTCAAGGTAGAGGAAAAAGTGGAACTGAGGAAGGAAAAATAACAGTGGGAAAGAGAAATTCACCTACTATCAAGACATCATCAAAATGATGATATTACCAAAAGTTCTCTATAGGTTTAATGCAATGCCAATCAAAATCCCAATGGCATTTCTTGTAGAAATAGATAAAGCAATCATGAAAT